TCATTAGACACCATCAAGCACCAAAAACATGATTCATTCACTATTTAGTAACACTTTAGTTTGAATAATTACAACTCTCAAGGGATTCATTAATAAACTTAGCATTTTTTTCTCCAAAATTAAAAGAACACTTTTTCCATACTTTGTTTTAAATTAAAATGTTTTAAACACAAAGTTGCAAATCTGTCAGACATCTCAAAAAGAGAAAACAAGAACCATTCAGGACTTCAAATATAGGGCAGAATATAAAGCTTATTGTACTTTACTGCAACTTTAGTGTTTTTACAACTACCTGTGAAAACAGAGATTCAGCCCAAAGTAGCCTGTTTGATGTTTTAAATCAGATCCAGATCCAAATAGAGCTAGTATATTATGGGTTCCATTTTGTGGAATCACCTGATTACCTAAGGTGAGATTGGCTTCATCATTTATGTTTTATCTCCCCTGAGGCGAGGGAGATCACTCAAGACTTGATTATGTCAGTAAGGCTCCAGGGGACAGATGATCTAACTGGAACTGAGGAACTGAGGAGGGACTGAGGAGAATTTTCCTGACAGAACAATTAATCAGTGGAACAGCTTGCCTCCAGAAGTTGTGAATGCCCCAACACTGGAAGTCTTTAAGAAGATGTTGGATAGCCATTTGTCTGAAATGGGTTTCCTGCCTAGGCAGGGGATTGGACTAGAAGACCTCCAAGGTCTCTTCCAACTCTGTTATTGTATTGTATTGTAATGAGGTGGCCTCATCACTGTTAACTTCCTTTCATCTATTATTTTTTAATCTCAGTGCTTATAGTTTTTAAATAAAGGTAATGATTTTTGATGTTTTAGTTTTATATGCCACCAAGTTACTTGCCATATAAGAGGAGCCACTAAATAAATTAGGCAAATAAATAAAAGTTTTAGTCACAACATAATTTACAACACAATTAGCTGGTATCTAACAGCTAAATGCCTGGTCCACAATCATATGCAGTTATACTGCTTAGATCCTATTGATGTAAGGAATCTTTAAAAATAGAATTAAAAACTACAATTCAGCTGTTGAACTGTTGATTGCCATTATGCACAGGATATGTATTCACAATGATAAAAGCCAATCTAGATTTCTACAACCAGGTATCCATCCAGTTATGAGGAACCACAATTTCAACCAGTAGCTGTCTTCCTAATTGATTGTGGTATTTGCAGCTTCTTGAGGGTAAAAATCACCAGACTGGGGAAGCTTTGCATTTAACAGGTTACCTTGAACAATACAGATGTCAAATTTAAAAATGTGCTGTTCTCCCCTATTTCTGAAAATCCTACTAGCTTCTGGAAAACACAAACGCATGCTGCCTGCCTTCAGTTGATATTTCTATTAACAGTAGAATATTTAAAACAGTGAGATATTTTATTAGATTTTTATCTTATTTTCATACATAATAATCCCTTCTCCCATTTTCCCCATAATAATCTCTCCTATTTTCCCCGACAACAACAACCCTGTGAAGTGAGTTGGTGTGGATGAAATTGACTGCCTCAAAGTCGGGACTAGAACTCCGTCTCGAGGTTTCTAAAACCAGCACTTTAACCACTACATCAAACGGACTCTCCATATTGGCAGCATTTGGTTTTGAAGATCTAGCCCGCATTGTACTTCTACATAGGAGGAGCTTTCCCCTCCTTCCCTACTTTCTTAGTCCTATTCTTAGTTCCAGTGAAAAAGCGGACTGCGCAATATATAATATGCAACGTGGGGAACGCTCATAATGTACAACGAATTGTAATTAATCCCAAACCAGAGACTTAAACAAGGAAGAATTTGGCTTGAAAACGGAGACTTGACTGCTTATGAAAAGTCTCACCGTCAGCCAGCCAAAGCTTTGGGCGAGGACCACCCACTCGTCTCTTCTTAGTGAAAACATCAAACATTGCTAAACCCGAGGCATTCTCTCTCGCCCCCCACCTCCACCAACTCCTGCTGTGCCTCCAGCGCGCCAGGCATAGATAACCCCACCCCGTCGCTCCCCACCGGCCGTAGCATCCAAACCGCTTACTATGTGCTCCGCGGACACCAGAGATCCCAACGCATATGCCAACAATTTAAGGTACTTCCAAGTCTGTCCGAGGCTCTGGAGAGAGGAGGGAAGGGGAGGGAGGCGGGGCATCAGAAGAAAAGGAGGCGGTGCTGGAGACTTCGGGCCAATCGCTGTCGGGAAAAGGATCTAAGAGGCGGGCGGTGAGCGGGGGCAGCAGGGGAAGGAGTTCGCGTGGTGGTTTGCCAGGTGTGCTGGACTGGTGCCGTCAGCTTTTGATCCCGCGGCCGCTCCCGCGCAAACCAGCCGTTCATCCTATTAGGATGAGAGGAGCGGGGATCGGGGTCGGAGCTGCAGCTTTCCCAGAGCACAGCCCCACTTCGTTCCCCACGAAGGCCTGAAAGATTCCGATTTGATCTGATCAACGGGTTCGTCATTAAGGCTCTGCAAGACTATTTTTCGCTTTTGCTAGAGAGAGCACGATGAGTAACGTTAGATTGAGTAACCATCCGAAAAGGATTTTTCAATGATTTCTTTTGCAAAAGGAGTTGAAAACGTGGGTGTGATGCTTACCGAAATGGACATTCAGCCCATTCTTGTTTTTATCAGTTCCGTATCAGTTGGGAATGAGTCACGACTGAACAATCTGACAATGGGAACACTCCTTATTTGCTCTTGTAGACCTTTTAAATTAATGTTGTAGTCAGTGCTCTCTTCTGTTTGCATATTCTTGTTTATGTGTCAGCTGCTAGATGTAGTACCTCTCACTATATATACAAAGACATGTTTGATTTGTAGGGTGCATATTTGTTTAAAAATGGTATTGGTGAACTATGTAGTAAAATAGAGGATTCTGCCCATCCAAAGCTTGTTCTGTACAGCACATTTTCCATATTAATATCAATAAATGTAAGCTATTCTCATGACAAGCGTATCTATGATTTACTCAATTCAGTTTTAGAAAATTGCAAGACACAACTAGAAACCAACAAGGGTAGGGTTTGCATATCTAGGCTAAATTAGATGGTTAATTTACAACTGTGAATACATAGTGCATACAGTGAAAGACTCACACCTTTACAGTGGTTTAAATTTCATTAGGCTTGAGTGATATTATAAAGTGACCATTGTAGCAGACTGGAAAAATCTAAAGGGGACCTTTTTCTAATGGGGACTACCACAGAATCATTTGAAGATTGATATATTACAACTTTTGCTCAGGAACTCAAGCTGGGATATTAAAGCTTACTAGAGGTATTTTCAGATTAACACCGGTGTTGGAAAACTCAGCAAAAAGGCAAAAATAATCTTAAGAAGCGTTGCCCTAGATATCACACACACTTGATGGTTTTCTCAAAAATATTACAGAAGTAGTTTGCCATTAACTTTTTCTCCTATTCTTTTGACTGAAAAGACTGGTACCAAGGTATACTACTGAGACAGCTATTTTATGTATAGGCGCAAATCAGACTGGCAGCTGAAGTTTACATTATTCATCAATGGAAACAAATATTCATCACCTCCTCCCTATAGCAAGCTGGCTCAAGAGATACATGATAATACTATGTAACACACAGAAAATGGATGTATGTATGCACCCATAAAGGAGAATATTTGTTGTTCAGGGTCTTTGGTGCTGAACTTGGTTAATTTCTTGCAGATGTTTCATTACCCAAACTAGATAACATCATCACTGCAAG